CCTCTCGGCTCCCTCTCTGCACAGGCGCAGCGCGGGCCGCCTGCCCCTCGCCCTCACTCCCCCAGAGCCTTCTGGGAAATGTAGTCTTGCAGGAGGTGCTGCTGCCCACCGAGTTTGCATCGAGAGCTCCTCCGAAATGCACAGTGATGGGGGCAAACGAGACGAAAGCCCCAGGACCTCCCCCCCTAACCCTGGTGCACACGTTCCTCCCGCTGCCGGCCCACTTCGCTCCCCTGTAGATGGAACTGGGTAGGTGCAGGGAGGTGGGCGCTGTGAAGCAGAAGGGCAGGGGGAGGGAGTCTGCACGATGCGCTGAAGGACACAGGGGTTGGCGTGGGGGAGGGTCCTCGGCTCCCGCGTTGTGCCTCCCCGATGGGAGCCCCGCTACCCGGGTGCGGAGCGGAGGCTTGGATGGCGTTGCCCGGGTTTGAGGGGACCTAGCCGAGCTGACCGAGATCACCTGTCAGGATGACAGAAGGCTGTCTCGGAGCCAGAGCCAGCCCCGGAACTGGGTCTGCAGCATCTCTGCTGATCGGCTCTCTCCTCCTGAGCACTGCGATCGATACCCTGGACTGCCTCTTCCCAAACCCCGGCTGGACCCTGACTCCATCCATCACTTTGGCTTCTTTTCCTAATGAATATTTTGTCTGCTGGAAGGGCTGCTACCAGAGCCTCGGCATAGGGAGATTTCTCATCAGATCTGTCATTTTCCTTGCTGAGGCCTGGGAAAGACCTTAATGATCCACCTCTTCCTTTTTCTCAGCGGATAACATTTCTTCCCACCCTCACACAATCAAGACACAAAAGCCCGCCCTTCCCCATCACATCAGAAGAAAGATACTCATTCTCTTATTCCTCCTCAACCCCTCACATTTCACCCCATAGTCATGCCTTCCGCTAAGGGGGAATCGAATCGGAGGCAAATAAATCCAGGTCTGTGACTCCAAGACTCACAGATTCCTTCTCACTTTCCCCTCAAGAATGATCTCTGAGGGCAGGGAATCCTAACCTGAGAACCAGAGACGACCCCTAGGGTGTCCAGGATCCTGGTGACATTGAACGTAAGATTGTACCCAGGTGTATTTTTCTAGGGAATGTAAACGTAGCGTGTGGCTGTCAGAGGGGAGAGAGGTGCAAGTTGGTGTAGCAAGAACCTTTCTAGTGAAGAGGGCAAGCATATGGCCCCCTTGACTCCAGCAGGAAGCTTGTCTGAGTCACAGATGGTAGGAGAACAAATGAAAACAGCATTGTGGAGGCCCCTCTCTCTCTCTCTCTCTCTCTCTCTCTCTCACACACACACACACCTTTTGAGTTTTCTCTAAATTTGCTAATGAATCTTGGTTTCTTTGGACTAACTGATGCCACCAAAAGAGATGTCACCCGGAGCCGCTCTTCAGTTTGCAGATTCTCCAGCTTGGGAGGGGAGAGGGGCAGAATGATGTTCTGGTGGAAATGCAGATATTTGTCCAAAAACTTAAAGCGAGGGGAGGAAGAGGAAAATAAAAATCCCCAGAAGGGCTCCAGTCTTGGCTCCTTCATGGCAAATGCTTGAAGCACTGTTTATTCCAATGTGTGATAACAAGCACCAGAAAACAACATGCAGCATTCTCCTCCCGCCCACGCCCTGTGATCCCGAGACAGGAGACCTGTGGCCACGGTGGCGGCGGGAACTCATGTTCAGGAAAGGTCCTGGGTGGGCAGCCTGGCGGGGTCAGAGTTCACTAGGGCAAAGGGCCTGCCTGTTAGCCTCCCGCAGCAGCTGGAGAAACCAGACACCTTCTTCTACCTCTGGCCCCACTGGGCAAAGCGGTGCTGCCAGCCCTGGTTGGAGGGGACATGAATCCTATGAGGACAGCCCTGTCCTTGGGCACTCGGCCTAGCCCTGCCTTTCCTCTTAGGGGGAGAGAGAGAGGCCATAACCTAAATCAAGGACTTCTGGCTGATAAGAAGCCGGGCTTTTGAGGGGAAAAGCCTGCTGTGCGCCAGGGGAAGTGCTGAGCTAGGAGTCCTTGGCAGGAGTGCGTACCCACCCTTTCCCCCCTGAAGGGCCGGTTGCTAACTTCGGCCCCCAAAGGAGAACACTTTATCCATCACATTGTAAATAAATTATAAACACGTACACAGAATCCAAACAACGTTCCAGTAGAAGCTGCTCACAGACCCCCACAGGGGCCAGCTCGGAGAAAACGAGGATCACCCCTTTGTTCTCTGGGTCTCTGGAGGCAAAACTGTCCCTCCTTGTCCTTGAGTAACTATGGGGACAGCTCAGGACAGAGAGAGGTTCAGACTTAGAAACACTCTCATCCCTGTAACCTCTCTTCTTTCCTCAAATCCCTTTGCCCAAACAAAACAAAATGGCCTAAGTCTTATTCCCAAGGCCTCTGCAGTATTTGAGGGTATAAATCTACCCCCACAAGTGGGGGGGACTCTGCCCCAGAGAAGAAATGATTGGCCCAAAGGCAAAGGCCCTGGGCACCCCAGTAATGCACATACTCCTGTGAATGGCGTTCAGGGAGGTGAGGAGGTTGGAGGGTTGACTCAGTCCTGAGCAGAGACTGGCACAGGCACATTCGCTTTGGGGATGATAATGGGCTAATTGGCACTGGGATTGGAAAATGGCTGGATTCATCCTTCTTCATCCTTCTCTGGGCAACCCTGTGGCCAGGGCAGACTGGGTAGGAGCCGGGTGGGGGACAGATGGCCCTGACCCTGTCGGCACTGTGTCTTAGGCCTGGGGGTTCAGAGAGGGACTGAAGGCAGTACCAGGAAGAGGAGACACACCAAAGACAAATATGGAACTGGGTCCCGAAATGAAGAAGCACCAATAGCATCGGCCTGCCCTGGACGGGGTGGGGAGATAGGGCCTGGGAAGGATGAGGCAGGAGGGCAAAGGGAGAGAGCAGGTCCATTTGTAAGGTGAGAAGGGGAAGTATGAAAGAAGGGCCAAGAAGGAGAGGGGAGGGGCAGAGAATGCAGAAGAAATGGGCCCATCCATCCATGTCCTGGGGTCCGGGGCAACTTAGCCTCACGAATGGTCCTTTGGGCCTTTCCAAAGCCCTTGCCTGGCCCCACAGGAATGAAAGGAAGGCCTGGCCAGACTCGGAAAAGGATCTTGAATGCCTCAGACCCAAGGGGGAGGGAGATGGGCAGAGAGGTTGAGGGGAGGGCTGAGATGGAGGTGCTCTTAGACCCCTCAGGTTGTGTCCCAAGTGTGAGACCAAGCCCAAGAGGGAGTTCAGGGAGGAAGGTAAGGAGTTGAGGGCCAATGTGAGTTTAGAGAGCTGGTGGCAAGAGCCCCAGCTTGGAGGGGCGGGAGGACTGAGGGAATAGAAGAAACTGACTCCCCAGCAAGTTTCCTGGCTTTAGTTTCTTGAATTTCAACGCAGTTGCAATGTATCTGCTCCCCACTGAGTCTCAGGCACCGGGACCCTCTGAAGGCTGTTTGCCAGGCTGGTGGGCCTCCCCGGCTCACACATGGTGGGCTCAGCGGGCAGCAGAGGCCAGAGGAGAGTGGGAAGCACACCGAACTAGAGCTCTGTGGTGAGCAGTGCAGGCACGAGGCCTAGATGGCAGCCATGGAAGAGGGGTCTCGAAAGCACTGGTGGGCCCTCCACGCAAGGGACCAGGAAGAAGGCTGCGGCCAATTTCCCCTCCCCCCACTTTTATTGAAGCTGGACAGGTTGATAGAGGTGGCCGCTAGGAACCAGTCTCAGGACTCTGGTCTCCTGCCTCCAACCCTCACCTGTAGCAGAAGCTGTGAGGGTCCCTACGACCTAGGTCAGGTGCCGGGGTCCAAGCAGTAGACAAGAAGTTCCTGCCATGGGGGGCTCCGGCGGAGAAGGGACAGGAAGCCACCGGGAGGGCTGCCCAGGTTCCCGACAGCTGCTGCCTGCCCATCCGTGGATGACTTCTCAGAGCCCAGAGCCCAGAGTGGCGGGGGAGGGGAGTTGGAGGAGCAAGAAGAGGGAGGTCCTGGGAGCCGAGGTGGTTGAAGAGGTGCATCCTGTTCGGGAGTAGCCAGGTGGGGGCTGCTTACTGCTTCTCCACGGCTCCCTGCTCAGCTGTGCTCTCGGGGCTGGGGCCTTGGCCCTGGTCCTGGCCCTGCCCATGCCACGGGGTCTCCTTGAACACGAACCAACAGTTCCCAGCCCACAGGAAGAAGTTGATAAAGCCGAAGAGCTGCAAAGACATCGGGGGAGTTTATGAGAAGAGTGAGGGAGCATCGTGGGAACCGGGAGGGGAGGACCTGTGGAGGGGGCAGATGGGGAGAGGTACAGAGGGCCACAAAAACTATCAGAAAACTGGATATTGAGATAGAGTTCAAGGCCATCACCCACTAAGGGGTTCTCTGGTGAAAGTGTCTAACTCTGTGTACAGATGCCCCCAGCTGTGGCTTGGTCGCTAGAAGACTCCGGCCCCTGGAGTGGAGCGTGCTGTGCAAAGCACAAAAGGAGCAAGGTCCTTGTTGCTCTCGCTCTCGCACATGCACACGTGGGACCCAGTTCCCAGAGCCTTCTGCGGGGTGGGTGTGGCCAGAGCTGTCCAAGGTGCTCCTTCCCTAGGGCCGAGGCCTGGCAGGGACCCAGCCAGGGCTATATTCCAATACTTATTCACAATATTTAAAAGCCTACCAGCAGGAAGCATTTAGGGGGAAGTG